AGGAATGGCCATGCTCACTTTCAAAGATATTACAGGGTAAACAATGTCCTGAAATGGAAAGTGATGATGATGATGATTCTTTACGTGATGTCACAAATGACATGAAAAGGTTTATTTGAATGGGTTTTCATGCACTGGCCATTACTGGCATGTCTGGTCGAAGCTTGTTTTAATGTCATGCTGCTGGGATATCGCTTAAACTTGACTGACAGTGGCGCCAATCAACATTCAGTCTCTCACACATATAGCACAACAAAAGCCATTGAAATGTCTGTGAAATATTGTTTAATTCATTATAAATATTCGAGACCTTACATCCCCAGGCAAATGTATTGCAGTTAACGAAAACAAAATAATTTCCTCTTCACCGTTGTATGAACCTTTCTCTAAGGTACACACCGTATCTTCATTTTCTGGTCCCAGTATACTCGCCTATTTGGCTAATAAAGGGCGGTGGGGTAGCCTAGTGGTTACAGCGTTCGCTCGTCACCCCGAAGACCCGGGTTCGATTCACCATATGGGTACAATGTGTAAAGCCCATTTCTGGTGTCTCCCGCCGTGATACAGCTGGAATATTGATAAAAGTGGCATAAAACTAAACTCACTCACTATTTGGCTGATCAGGCTAGTGAATAACAACTGTCAATTATCATATATAACTGTTAATCATTTAACAGTTAGTCCTCATAAATACGTGTTGCGGTGGGGTAAAAGCGGTTCGCTCGTCACGCTGAAGACCCGGGTTCGATTCCCCATATGGGTAGAATGTGTGAAGCCCATTTCTGGTGTCCCCCGCCATGACATTACTGGAATATTGCTAAAAGCGGCGTAAAACTAAACTCACTCACTCATGAATACGTACTAGCAATTTGCGAAACACTGATTTTGTTGAAGAGGTTCGTAGGAATATTTTCGAGTACTTACAAATTTACAGTGTATGTTTTCAATTAGATTTTTCATGTGGATAATGCATGCTTAATAATAAAAGTGATAAAAAAATTCATAATCACCTGTCAGAAACACATCGAGAGGCAAGTCAGTGTTCACATGAAAAATGAAAAATGGGAAAATATGGTGCAAGTTAAAACAGGGATTTACTTCAGACGGAATAAAAAGCAACGAATTGAATAGACTGACATGAAAAAACGGAGACACATTTGGCTTCTCTCTGGAAAAATAAGGCAAACTCAATAATAAGTCTACGGAGCAATTATAAAAAACCCGTACATATTGGGGATAGTTCCAGAGCCCTCTAAATCGTGTTCCCCATTCCTTTGACATTCTGAATGGTTCATACAGAGACATATTGCTATCTTTTCCGAATAAATGTGTCGTTTACGCTTTTTTTGGTGTCTTTTACGTTTTGTGGAAAATTAAAACTCATTATGTTCTGTGCATGTGGCGTTTTGTTTATTGGCGAAATACTCACGTTTGCGTCCGATAGTTAAAAACTTCAGTTCTTAACATTGAATATTGTTATTTTGTTCAAAATTTAAATATTAAAGACTAATTTTATTTCCCAACTACTTATTCACGTTGTTAGAAACGTGGCACCCACATTATTTGTAATATATCCTCGTGTCATACACACGGCAATAACAAGTTTGAACATAGCCTTCGCACACGTGACGATCCGGGATAGAATTGGTCTTCAGCAACCATGCTTGTCGTAAGAGGCGACTTACAGGATGGAGTGGTCAGATTTGGTTGACACATGTCATCGTATCCTAAATACGCAGATTGATGCTCATGCTGTTAATAACTGGATTGTCTGATCCAGTCTCGATCATTTACAGACCCTGCCATATAGCTGGGAAAATGCTGATTGGCGTTAAAAAGCAAACAGTCTTGGCGACCAACGTGAAGCGATTTAGCTATAAAGCCTAAAAAGTGTGAAACAAAAGAAACAGACAGACCTTGCAAGTAAAATAAAAAAGTAATGCTGCTGCGAATCTCAAATCAGGAAACTGAGCGGGTCGTGGATAGGGGCTGTACTCGAACACAGATCAAAACATGCCTGGGGCGCCGCTTGTGACGTCACACCAAGATGAGATACAAATTAGATTTGCAACTGCAACCACCAGCAGACATATGTACATAGGTAGGTTTTCAGTAGGGGTGACTATTGAGGGGGAACCAACTATTGTGATATCGATAGTCTATTGCAACATACTATTGCGATAGCGATTGTGTATTCCGACCAACTATTGCAATACTATTTCAATATGTTCTTTTTTCTAGAATTGTCTCATTTGAAGTCATTTCCCAAATAAATGTATAGTTTATATGACATAAAAAGAATTCGTTTCAGTCTCTTTTAATAAGTGACAAGAAACTTGAAACCCAGATCAAGTAAACAATTAAAACATAAACTCAATGAAGCTGTAAGTCTGCACCCAAACATCCTGTATTTTGCGCTGCACATTTATCAACGGAAGTCAATAACTAAACTATTGATAGTCACACATACTATCGATACATCGGTAGAGTTTTGTTTCTACCATCGATTAATTGCTATCGGAGACTCAACAATTGCAGTCCATCGATATTTCGATGCATCGTTACAGCCCTAGTTGTCAGCACAGACTATCAGGGATAGCCTGCACAGCAGGACGACCATACACAGGAGCTGTCCTGACTGTAGACATGCCAGATTCAACTAGAGGCAGTCGGGCAGGATTGTCTTCATTGACAATCACATTTCGCTTTGCCTTGACCGATTTGAAGGGGGTAGGGTAATGGTTTTGGAGCATTTTGTCCCAACTGTCGATCTCAGTAGTTTGTTGTCCTTACTGACAGACTGTATCAGGCCCAAGTTTGACCCAAGTCCTGCAATCCCTGCAGCTGGGTTAGTTGGTTGGTTGGTTTGTTGTTGAACGCCGCACTCGGCAATATTTTAGCTATATGGCGGTCTGTAAATAATCTGGACCAGACATGTGTCAACCAAATCCGTGAGCCTGACCACTCGATTCCGTTGCGACAAGACCAATTCTAACCAGGATAGTCACGGGTTTAGCAGCTACATGGTCCGGTACTAGCATTTCAACATGTCAAAGGCACCCTCCATACTACAGTTCTGCACACAACTTCTTATGCAACGCCAGTGTTAATGTCATGGACTGGCCTTCCCGTTGAAAGAAGAGCGAAACAGCAGGTGAATCAACCTAAGACCTTGCTCGAATTTGGGCAAACACTTCCGGTTAGAGTTGATACGGTTTAGAAATTGCTGTAATAAAAGGCGTGTGAGTCCCCTTTAAACCAGCAAAATAAAACACAAACGAGTCTATAATTTTCAATTGTATACTGAATAAACAAGGTTACGAATGTCAGTACAGATTTCTAATGCAAAAGTATTGGGTCACAAATCTAAAATAATTACTCCCCAAAGTATTGATATTCCCAGTTAAAAACAGATGTACTGATTGAAGATTGTTGACAGCTGTTGAAAGTTCAATATAGACGAGGCCTCTTGAAACATCGATGTAAGCAGACAAATGAGCTTAAAAGTAGTCCCCCAATACATCTCAGCAACAGTATACCTACAATACAGTTCCAGAGAATTCTAGCAAGGGCCACACAACATCTCATAGCTTGCAGCATCCTATCGAACAAACAGGAAGCAAAACAAAGGGGAGGTAACTCCTCAACCCACCCTCAACAGGTGAAAATCACAACCTAAGTTAAAGATGCGAGTTCAAATCCACACTCAGTGCTTTAAACTTTTGTGACCCATAACAACCAAAAGTTAATTAAAGTGACCAAATAATTATCAATAACACATCATCATAACAGAGTTTTCTTAGAGGTTCTCCTGTCCAAGAGGAGACGTTGTGTTGCCGTTGTGTGATCCTTGGAGGTCATACACGTTACTGTTTTCTGTTCCAACAGTTTTATCAGTGTCAAGTTCGGGGATCATGGAAAGCCATGCATAAATATTCAAATAAAATGATGCCATAGTTCACCTTTCATGGTCTGTATTGTTACCTGGACGATAGCAGTGAGCAAAGAGTTAGTGAGTGAGTTTAGTTTAATGCCGCTTTTAGCAATATTCCACCAAGATTACGACGGGGGACACCAGAAATGGAAAATGGAAAGCCATGCATAAATATTCCAATAAAATGATGCCATAGTTCACCTTTCATGGTATGTATTGTTACCTGGACGATAGCAGTGAGCAAAGAGTTAGTGAGTGAGTTTAGTTTGTCCCACTTTTAGCAATATTCCAGCAAGATTACGACGGGGGGCACCAGAAATGGGCTTCGAACATATTTGACTAGCCTGATCAGCCAAATAATGAATGAGTTTAGTTTTACGCCGCTCTTAGCAATAATCCAGCTGTATCACGGCAGGGGACACCAGAAATGGGCTTTACATAGTGTACCCATGTGGGGAATCGAACACGGGTCTTCGGCGTGACGAGCGAACGCTTCAACGACGAGGCTACCCCACCGTCCAGTTCATTAAGATATTACAGGGGAATAAACGACTGACAATGCAAAAACAGCACGGCTTTTTTTCCCAGGTCAAATTTTGTTGAACTATCATACGTTTATACAGCTTTAATAGGGCGAATTTCCTGCAAAACCATATGTATTGATATGAAGTAGTTGTCTCAAAATTCCATCTAAAACTGATCATTTGTCAAATGGCGTGTTGTGGCCCTGTGGTCAATTTTGTCACCTTTTTGCCCTTTCTGAAATAAGTATCCAACAAGCCACTCTCATGGACCTGTCGCCTGTCCATCAGGAATATATCGCCTATCGATTAATATTAATTGATCTGACGCAATCGTTCTGTCGATGTACACCAATGATGGCATCCAAAACATGTCCAAGGATAGCTCTGTGACTGAAAAAGATGGGGCGTGTTTGTAGGAGGGGACAGACGTGACGGAGAGGGCACCGTCGTGATTGGCTGCAACACGCCCGATGTTTGGGCCTTCCTGGTGAGAGATAGGATCGGTTAGCTATAGTGCTGTAGTCAGCGGCTATCGCCGGCTTAATCCACGGCAGTGTGAGAGGAAAGAGATCGATCTGAAGTCGTTTGTTCACTGTGGCTCTTCCATGTGTAGAGAGGAATACATTCACGAGTTATAGGAACTAAGGTATGTTTGGAACCTATCTGCCCAGACAGTTTCATGTCATGTTCAAGAAACTGGCATTTTTGTTCATTTTAAAATCAAGAAATGACCTTTCGAGATTAATGAAGAAAACATTCAAGAAATAATAATTTTGTTGATTTCTTGTTTGGGTTTTGTTGTTATCTTGGATATCGGTATTGATGTCTCAATTGCCTGTTTAATATAGCTAAAATGTATATGTACTGAATAAGAATGAACGTTGATATCAGTTTACGTGTTTGAATTCTCTGTAGATTTGTGGAGTTTTTCCCGAAAATTTGATTCATGATATTATGGCGGGAAGTGCTCAAGATAGTTGCAGTAAATGCAACTGAGTGTGGTAATGAGGACACCGACGGAGATATTTGGTGACTGGCTAAATGTATTTATTCGATAAGTTGTCTGGAAGTAAGTTAAACAGAGGTGGCACGCGGGCTGTCATGATTGTTTGGTTATATGCTGCCGCCGTTACCACCGCGTCTGTCAATAAGCATTACTTTTTAATGCAGGTATTTGGGGGTATGTTTAATCTTTTAATGAACACCTGGTGTCATTACAAATTTACCGGATCCATTCATCCTAATTTTCACTGCTGTTTTGCTTTTTTCTCAATCTGGAATACATTTTGACAGATATTCGTGAATGGTTGTTATCTAGAATGGTGATCTACCTTCAGTTGCTTGAGATCTATAGCCCATTTTTACAATGTGTTGTTGTTGATTTATTCTTTTAAAGTCTATCAACTACTTTTAAATTATACCTGTGATAATCTAGCACTTCTGTTTTCCTTCGATGATAGATTTCTTATTCCTAATATATGAAGTATTTATATTCAAATTATCGTCGCGATACGACTGAAATATTGCCGATGTGACGTTACGTTTTAACTCACTCACGCACACTTTCTTTACTGATACATAGGTAGAACTGATCTGAAGTAAGAAATGGGCATCTAGATCTAGAATGGGGATTAGTAATCTATTCAAAAAGAAGCATGTACATCTAGGGAAATGGAAACTCGGAATGTAGATCTAGGATCGAAACATGTCATAAATAGGGAAAATAGGCATGTAGATCTGGAATCGGAACATGACATAAATAGAGAAAATAGGCATGTAGATCTGGAATCGAAACATGTCATAAAAGGGAAAATAGGCATGTAGATCTGGAATCGGAACATGTCATAAAAAGGAAAAATAGGCATGTAGATATAGAATCGGAACATGTCATAAAAAGGGAAAATAGGCATGTAGATCTGGAATCGGAACATGTCATAAAAAGGGAAAATAGGCGGCACGTAGATCTGGAATCGGAATTAATAATCTAAAGGGGAAATAGGGCATGTAGAATTAGTCATCGGCGAACCTCTCTGCTTTTTGTCTGTATAGTAGGAGGCTAAGGTGAGGTCAATTGAACCGTATCGTCACGTTCAGGATTACTGCATTAATACAGCAGCGCACATTAATGTGTGTATGCATCTGTGTGCGTGCGTGCGTGTGTGTGTGGCTGCTTGTACTTGCCCGGATTTCTGTCGGTATTGTCTATATCCCACAGAGATGCCACAGTCTTTACAGATACCCCAAGCATACAAAGCATACAGACACCGAACCAACGTCCTTTAAAACAATCGCCAGGGTAACAACAAGTCCCATGTGTTAACGTTAACGAAGACGGGGTCATCGACGTCGACTCTCCAGACAAACTCTCTATCCACTTGCCCACGTAACAGACTCTCTGTATCTTCATTCTGATCCCCATTATCTTAGAGGCGAGATCGATTGGCACATATGAAACCTAATTTGTATGAGGATAATTATCGTCAACCATTGCATAGCAATTACTCTGTTTGTCACTGCTGGAAACTGAAATGAGCTGAACTAATGACTTCAGAGTTCAGAGTTTGCCTGGGTGCATTAAGTTAACTCTCGGTAAATGACAGCAAGGCGTCCTATGTAAGAAAATCAAGTCACTTAATTTCCTATTCAAAATGAGATGAACAACAGCTGACTTGTGCTGACTACATATAAACACAAGTGTCACTCACTCCCAATAACACCCTTTCTTGTCAGAATTCAAAGTACATGTACATTGGCGACACAAGGCTTTGAGAAACCTGGATACATGTTCCTTTAGACATATAAGCGTGAAATTGAAGTTGTCTTTGAAATAGCCTTACACATCAATCAAACATTGGATGTTTAAAACAGTTCAAAGTATGCTTAAATCCAAGCTATTTCAAATTACGTAACGCATAAATCGATATTTCACAAAATATTTTTCAAATACAAGCTGTATTTCAAATTACATTACACATCACTATTTCAGACAGCAAAAGGACTCAAAACCGATCGATTTCCATTTTATAAGTCAATGTATATTGAAATGTTTCTTTTATGTCATCTATTCATAGATCTAAACCTATTTATGACTGTTCGTTTCAATGTTTAAGAAGATGCCATTTGTATTCATATCTTCTTTGAGTGGCATTTTAGGAGTTGGGACGTACAATATGCATGTGACGTTATGGATAACAACTTCTTGAATTCCTGCTTGACAACAGTAGAAGAATCTGTATCGAAACGTCGCACTCACGAAATAAATAAGTTGTTATCCATAAAGTTTGTTCAATATTGTATTCATAACATTTGATCAGACTGAATGAATCTGTCTGACTGATCAGACGCATTTCTTTTAAACATAGGATTCAATTTCCCTACATTGTGTATTAAATGACAAACGCATTCTTCGTAATACAGTAAACTATGAATTAATGAATCCGCTTATAGCGAAATGATAGACATAAGGCATTGTCTGTGGATTCCTAGCACTGATTGAGGACCCCAATAGTTTGGTAGCAACGCGTATATCGAACTACTGTTGTCCGTCTGAGTTCGGTATAGCCGTAGTTTACTTAACAAACACTTATACAATCAAACCGACCTATGCCGTTACGGGGCGGTGAGATAGCCTAATGGTTAAAGCTTTCGTTCGTCACGCCGAAGACCGATTCATCCACATGGGTACAATGTGCGAAGCCCATTTCTGGTGTCCTCGCCGAGATATTGCTGGAATATTGCTAAAAGCGGCATAAAACTATACTCACTTACTATGCCGTAACATGTGTCTTAATTAATCGACACATCGTCAGACCATGGATTCGACGAGACACGAATTAACGCTATCCTTGTCCGGACGCCACCATTAAGTACACCTGATCGGGACCACGTCTTCATTAGGGCACATGTTTCAAAAGGAATTACCCCATTTACCATGACTGTCAAGTTGTGTACATATTCAGAAGACACATTGCCTCGGCAACAGACGGAGGGGCACGTCTCCAGCACATGTTAGTTGACTAATATATGTAGCCATTACTGCATCTGGCTATTTGATCAGATGGGAATTAAGTTAATGAAGTGTCGTCCAGCTGAGTAAACTGAACATCTAACTGCTCCAGCGACTCCACGAAGGAAGAATGTCTGGATACGGCAACGTAAACATTGGTGTTTTGATGAAGAACAGGCTTGATTCTCACAACCAACGCACTTTGAAGTACTTTGAATATGTATCTGTGGTTAGGTGAAGAGGAAATTGGTATAACGAAATCGTCAGGTCAAACACGTGTTACTTTGAGTAATTGGTTTGGTCTCAAGTAAACGCGGACAAGAAAGGCTTAAATATCGTGTTGATACAGTGTGAATGGTTTGCATGTAAAATATGATAGTTGAATACAGAGGCGGATCCAGGAGAAGGTGTGTGTATGTGTGTGTGCCCTTGTGCGTGTGTGATATCTGAGAATAACCATCTTGTGTTAATGATAAACGTGCGTGCGTGCGTGCGCGCACATCTGACCCAAATGCATAATGGCCTGTATATCCTGTTTTATCAGATAGATATCATGCTTCTAAATACTATAAGTGGTGAGCATTGTTTACTGGAACATGTTGCGCATAAATCGTGAAGTTTAGGGAAAATGCTCGAGGGAGAGGGGTCCAGGTGTGCGAGAAAGGATGGAGACGGCAATTTAAATATGACAGGCTCTTTTAATGAATCAATAAACACTTGGTGGGTCACTTGTGCAGCGTGCTTCTCTAACACCTGGCTGTCCTTTCACGCATTAGCGACCAAACAGATCCTGATGCAATTCCCTTATTGCCACTTCCTCCCTTGCGTAACAAATAGTGAAACTGTGTCAACATTTTAATGATAGTTTCTTGAAAGGACTTTTTGGAACACAATGAAACACTTGTTTGCAATAACAATATTTTTCACAGTCCGGAAAATTTTCAATTCATGATTGAATTTATTTTAAAGCTGTCGAGTTTTAGTAAATGATAAACATGTGTACTATTTATATTTATGTTTTGTGCAATTTTGTACAATGATAAAATAACTGTTATTTTCGATGATTCATCGGTCCGTTCATCTGACTCATAAACAAACGGACTGTATATGAAAATGTGTTCCTACATAGTATATATTGACAGTAAGGCCTTGAGTTTTCTGTATAAGGTATTCGTAGCTCTTCTTATGGGAAATTCATTCCACGAGTATATTTAACCTGCAAATATTCAGTTTGGGATCTTCATTTGACCCGTTAGTGAACTGTGTCCAGGATATTTACAGACTGGCGTCATATAACGTTGTTAACTAACTTCCAAACAAACAAATAGAATATTTGATTGTGTTTCATGAATACATGCTTAGATATAATCGGAAAAGTATATTTTTAGATTATTAAGGTTTTTTGTACATCGTAACCACGTCATGGTTCAGTGGCGATTTGATCAGTAGTAAATATCCCTCCCGTCTTCTGTATCATGATATTGGATGAATTCCGAGTTCATACACAACTACGAATTGTCAGTTTAGGAATTGCAGTTACCTACATTGAATACACAACGTCCGTGAAATAACCAATCACTCTTGACTTTCCTCAGGAACAGATTTCATTTAACGTAAAGGGGACAGTAGCTGTAAACATTAAATGAATGGGAAACTGAAAATCAGTGATGACACCAGATGTTGGCGTTGGAACTTTGGAAATACTTGCCCATCCGCAAAATCGCGTCTGTTTGGTTTAGTACATTGCAGTCTTATAAACATCACAATTCTTGGTATCTTTTGTGACATGGTTTCGAGCCAGCATGCGAAATAGGAGTTTCACTTCATCTGCTTATTGCATACTTAATCTATCTGGCATCTAGGACAATGACTTAGGAACTCACAGAAGTGTGCTCATCTGCTCTTCTGTGGCACTCACAGAAGTCTCCTCATGTGCTCTTTTGTGGCTGATAAATGACTATATTCTTGTCATGACTGACTGACTGAGTTTGGTTTTACGCCGCTTTTAGCAATATTCCAGCAACATCACGGCGGGGGACACCAGAAATGGGCTTCACGCATTGTGTCTTGTCATGAAAGCATTGTGACCTCACCACTGTATTTCCATTGGTTTTGCCTATCGACCAAGTCTCCCTTCGTGCAGTTGTACTGATTATGTATGGTCCCAAGTACAATGATATGCTGGTAATTATCTACCACACAGTGTGTCATCCTTCCTGAAGCTCTGATTACATCTCTGATGACGTGTCACAGTCATTGTTACAGTGTCACGACTCTGAATACGATCTATATTCACCTGAAACCGTTTACAGTCAGGCAAGGTTATACGGCATAGTGCATGCAGTTCTGTAACTGTATTAAAGATGGATATTGAGGTCATTAAACTCAATAACACGTATCCGTATACACGTATTCTACTCATTTATTGTAGTTTCCCCCAAACGGACGCCCAAAACCACTTTTGCATCATGTCGTGAAAATACCTTTACCATGATGCTGAAGGGTAACTTGGGTTGATCTGGATTTATGGAGTGTAATATTTACTCCATTCTTTTATATATGCCTGGACCAACTTGGTATACAATAGTTTTATGTTTCTTTTAGACGTCATCACCTCAATCTCCTGGTACTTCCAACACAGTTTCTGTTTGGCTTGTCAGATGGAAACTCCTGTTAGATGTAGAAAAATACTTAAAGGTAATTTTATTTAAATTGAGATCTGTCTTTTCAGGTTAAACGTCATAACAGATTTGAGATGTAAATACTGCTTCAATGAAAGATTTTGTTTATGGATATCAAAGTATTAATGACATTATCTAATAAATGTGTTCGTGACTATCAAATATAGTCAAATTCAGACTCCTATTTGAACGTTAGGTGACTTCATGCTGCTTGGTTTAATGTCATTCTTCAAGGGTCACGATAAACACATTTTTAAATATTTCCGTGGCACATTACAAATACTTTTTATTCAGACTTGCAAAGATATATTTTTTAGGATGCTCTCATATAATTTCACCTGAAGGTGAAACATGTTTTACAAATGATTGTTTTGCCTTACGCCCAGCGGGGGCGGTGGGGTATCCTAGTGGTTAAAGCGTTGGCTCGTCACGCCGGAGACCCGGGGTCGATTCCCCACATGGGTACAATGTGTGAAGCCCATTTCTGGTGTCCCTCGCCGTGATATTGCTGGAATATTGCTTAAAGCGGCGTTAAGCCATACTCACTCACTTACGCCCAACGGAATCACTGGTTATTACAATATTCATTTATTAATGTGTATTTGATAACATACGATTTCGCATAAATGCAAAACGTTTATCAGGACCTTCGAATTACTTATTTTTCGAAGCCCCGCACCTCTCTGGATCCGCCCCTGGAGTAGATACATCAAAGCGACAAAGACCTTTCCACATTCACAAGAAGTCCCTGTCAAGAGGCTGGTCGATAGTACGATATTTACTATATCATGGGTATGTTTTGATAATTCTGCATCAAACAGTGACAATAGCAACTCCTGCTCTGCCGACGACACCTGTCATAAAAGTGTGCAAAGTTTAGTCAATGATTTTTGTTCCCTTGAGGAAAAAGAAATGGGAACGTATGGTCAACGTCAAAACAGGGAACAGCATCGGACATAAGTTTTGTGTTAAACTTTGTTTGCGTGACGGTCTAAAGTTCTCTACCGCAAAACGTTTTACTGATCAGGATATCATTGTTTTGCCCTTGAGAAACAACTTTATGTCAAGCATTGTTGCATGAAGCTCTTTGACATTTTCTTAGATAGATCGTGCTCGATTGTACCTCAAAGTTGTCTTTTTATGTAGACATCAAGTACTGGAGCTGCTGCTCGACATAAAGGAACGTGTACTGATGGAAAGCGGAAGTCGCTACTTTTATCATACATTCTTGCTGATAGTGTTCGGTCAGTGTTAATTTTAAGTCTCAAATAGTTTGGATGAATCCGTTGAAGGAACCTGCTATTTGACAAGTAGTGGATTTATTTCAGATCCTTGATAAACATAGGCCTCGTGACAAACTTCATTGTTTTGATATGCTAAAGAAATCTACCTTTAGGAAGGTCCATGTCCCAGTGTCAATAACCGACCTGGATCGTTCTGTTTTACTGCATGTGCTTTTAGTGAAATTAGAATTCACCCTCGTAGTCAATTGGCCGAGCTACTGTCCGGGCGACGTTAACATTAATTAACGTCTTTTAACGTCATTTACACTTTTAGCCCTGGTTAGAATATGTTGACTGGTCTCACGAGACTACTTGTTAATGGTCGCAAAGGACAGCCCACCGCTTTAGTCTATCTTGCTGACCTCAGTCTATTAATTTAATGAAACAATAATCCACGTCCCATTCAACCCTTTATCCAATTTTTCGCACAGAATATTGATGAAAATATACTAGATTTTTAAACATCCATCTTGTTCCCGGTATACGTTACACTTTCCCATGAATATCTACCCAAAACGGTTTAAGCGATGCTATTCGCTTCCCGAACTGAATTATTTCATTTTGAATTTGTACATTACCATGCAACAACCTACAATTTCAGCTGGTCATGCGGATCCACTTCTGGTACTCAGCCTCAGTGAATTGGTTTAATAGCGTGTTTCAGTTTATCCTATCAGCATGGCTAGTTGCTCATGATATTAATCACTGGTTTATCTGATCCGGACTGGACCTACAAACAGTCATGATGTATTGCTGGTTTTGTCGTAATATGTGTCACGGTCATCTTTCACTGTCATTAATTTTGTCACTATCCATTTCAGGACCATGACCGATCTGACAACTTACGGCGAGGCACCGGGTCCGGGTTCCTTGGACATGATGGAAAATGAAACATACATGTTGCACAACAACATGACACCTACTGAAATATGGCGCCAGAATGCCTTCGTGAACGCTTTGACCATCACCCGCAACATCTATGTGCCGACCATTGTTATGATAGGTTTGACAGGAAACTTCTTGTCCCTTGCCGTGTTTACAGCCAGCCAGCTCCGGCATGTTTCATCATCCGGGTATCTTGCTGCATTGGCATGCGCAGACAACCTCTTCCTGTTATCGCTGCTGGTGACGTGGTTGGACGGAATAATACCGATCATGGTATCAAAAGAGGCATGTCGGTTCATCATCTTCATCACTTACATATCCAGTTTCCTTTCCGTGTGGAACGTGGTGTGCTTCACGAGCGAACGATATATCGCGATATGCCATCCCCTTCACGCACCGATAATCTTCTCAAAACTGCAGGAGAAGTATGTTGTCATCACATTTGTCATACTATCAGGTGTCCTTTACAACTTTGCTCTATGGACGACTGAAATCCAACCCTACATGAACCGCATTCTTTGTGCCAGTAACCCAACGTTCTTTTTCCTTATGAATATCGTAACGTGGATGGACACAATTCTCACCATGATTCTCCCATTCCTCCTCATCCTCTTCATGAACGTCCGTATCGTGTGGCGAGTCATCCGGTACCAACGAAAGCGGGAGAGTGTCCTCCAAACCCACCAGACCGCCCTAAGGAACAAATCGCAGATGAGGATCACCCGAACATTATTACTTGTGTCCACCACCTTCCTCGTCCTCAACCTACCCAGTCACGTGATCCGACTGAAACAGCTGATTGCAGCTTCCTACAACTACAACTCCCTCTACCGGAAGTTAATACAAGAGATTGTTCAACTGGTGTATTATTCGAACTTTAGTGTAAATTTCTTCCTGTACGCCATATACGGAAAACATTTTAAAAAATCATTGAAGATGCTGATCACAAATATGTGCCGCAGAAAGAAGACATTTTCCCGTGATAGATACCGTTCGGACTTCAACCGGACGTCCACAACATCAATGCAGGCGTACTCCAGGTGACTAGTCGTAAAGGAAAGCAAGTTATGACGGTTGGTGAAACCTATGGTGCTGAGGCGGGAGTGACGTGTGCTTATCATTAGAAGCAAGTAGATATATCGAGACATGTTTTTGTAATGACGATCTGTTACAGTGAACGACTATAAAGAATATGTTCTTGTCGCAATAACCAACTTTAGTGGTGATCAGATGTGCAATATCCAATCATGGCGGATACTTGGTTTTCAACTATGAAAAATTAGGACCAGGACTACACATTTCGGTTACGGAGTTGATGGTAATGTCCTGCACACTTGACAACAGCAAACGTGGACGGACGATATTCCGCTGTGTAGGAACGGTGTGGTGATTTGGAGAAGCTTTTAAGTGAGACTATGAAGCAACGGAGATAGGATCTACAGCTGTGTAGGACCTTATCAGTGATGTCAAGCTATCCGTGTGTGATAACGTCAAGGTGACGATGGTCACGTATGGTGTAAGATACGAATGATGTTCAGCTTAAGGACCTTATACGTGACAATATCCTGCTATACGATAATGATGTGTGACCTTGGAAGATCTATGCGCTGGAGTGAAAATGTTGTGCAGGAACGTACGAGTAAGAACGTTAAAGTGGCAATATCTTTGACCAGATATGAAGGAACCTTATGTGACTATATCAACACCAAGAATGATGATGCCATGTTGTGGAGGAACCGATAAGGTACACCTCAAGTCCTTGAGTACAATGTCCATTTTTGATCGGTGTATCCCATCTAAATCCTGGAGTAAAGATGACCATTTGTGAAAGAGGATCATATGTTTGACGAAGTCAGTTTGTGGAGCTACCTGCAAGTTACTGTATCCAGTCCAAAAGTGATTATGTTCAGTTGTGGATCAAACTGTGCGTGACTATAACATTCCTTGGAAATGTTTATCTTTGCCAGTTTTAAAATGTGGCTGATAATATCTACGTCATGGTTACGTGCATAGTTGCTTGCCTTCGTTATGCCAGGATTTGCTGATCATCAGTTTGAATTTCAGGTTATGTTCTCTGGTTGCATCAAAATGGCATACACTTTTAACCGCATCATTTTGGATTCTTCATTTGGCTCACACGGCGAAATACCACTGAATATATTGTTAAATTCCACCTTACTGAAGGGCACTATTTCACACCACACTTATCTGAAACTAAATAATACTTTTCTCTCAATAATAATACTCAGGGAAGCTACCATATGATTAATTCCCAAACCAATTATGTATTTAGATTACATTAGATTAAAAAGTTCGAATGAAGTAATGCAACGTTGCATTAAATCGACTCTCGCGCCCTCTACCGGCCGAACATCATTTCAAGCAAACCCCATAGACTTATGTTCCTTCGAGCGCTCTTTGGACACAGAAACCAGTTCGGCAAACACCGAAAACACCACTTGCGACAGTTTTTGATGTACGGAGCAATTGTTTACTTTCCATATATGGCAAGCGTTCTCTGTTTGGAAGCTGTTCGCATCGAAGTTTCAATTATCGATTTCAGGCAAGCCGTAAGGGATAATAAATCATTTATGGCATCACTAGGAAGCTAAAGTGAGTGTGTATGCCCCAATATGTTTAATATAGGCCAAATACTGTCGAAGGTGTGTGAAATTGTGCCTTTAAGGAATCCAAATTAGAAGGAGAGAATGTCCTAAAGGACGTTAACTTACAAGTCACAGAAACTGACATCTGAAAGTACTGATCTGTGCAAATGGTGTATCAGTATAATTACTATGAAGCCAAACTTAATTTAGTGCTAGGACCGACCTGTAGACATTCCTGGGTTGATGTGGAAAGGGCAGGAGAGACTGGGGTTTTATTGAAAAAAGAAAAACTGTCAAAGAACATTCTTAACAAAATGATCATACCTTAGGCCTTAAAAATGACATTGGTGGACAGTGTTTCTCTTAAAAGGAATAGACAGGGTAATTACTAAAAAAATACCCCCCTCGCCTCCATCCCCGATCCGAGCCCCTGAATATCTAATGGTCGGTCCCTATCCAGTTTTATGTATTCGAGACCGTTCAGGTTCTGTCAATACCTGTTTCAGATCGAGGGCAAAGCTATTATCCGGTAAAAGTTAGATTTCTATATTTGATGTGATAATATTTATCTTTATTACCTGATCAGTTGCATTTGTTGACAGTTTTGTTGTATTCTTTATACATTGTTTATCAATGTCTTTCTGGTCAATAAATGGAAGCTTCATAATAGGAATTGTCTCCTTTGAATAAATATGTTTGGTAATCATTGATTTTTACTGTGTCGATCAGATAATTATTAACATCCATGATTTTTTGTCACATGATAGAACAATATAATATGTTGTGTGAAACGTCCCCTATACGAATTAGCTCATGAAACAAACATTAAGCGTTATTTAGAGAAGTGTACACTATTGTAAATTCTATAATCTACAGAATTGCAGAATTATAAGAGAAAGTACACATAAAGTACACTTTAAGTTGTCAAAAGACGGTGAGTGAGTGAATAAGTTTTTGCGCATCTTATAGCAAGGTTCCAGCAATACTCATGGCGGGGGACACCAGGAATGGGCTTCACAAGTTGTACCCATTGGGAAATCAAACCCGAGTCTTGGGCGTGACGAGCGAATGCATTAGACCCTGGCTACCCCACCGCCCATTGGCATTAAGGGGGTACAGAAAAGATAGCCGTCTCGGAATGTGATGTGAGTGGCATATCCTGTTAAATTACGGCATGAGCTATCAGTGGCCAACCTTACATTTGGACCGTAGCACGTTGCCACAGACATATGCGCATGTCGCTTGTACGTGGAATACTATTGATTGGTGGTTCACCCTGTTTGAAACACCAAAGTCAGTCCCTATATGCACTGTTGAGGAAACGATATTTCAGAAAAGCAGACACCAGATGAACACTTTGATATGGCAACAGTCAACGGAAATAGTTTTAACAGTTGTGTTTGGTATATGATTATCATCATTGTGCCAAGTGATTGTTACCTCCAAGTAATAATGTTACACACCAGTCATGACTAACTTCACAATTTTCAGTTAATGAATGACATTATAGGAGTATTTGTTGACGTTCATCGGCTGATGAATACAGTGCATCATGTGGCATGAAAACACCATCGATTCAGATCAGTTATTACAATCAGTGAATGAAATCCATTTATCCTGAATGTCCACGCCAGACAATAAGCAGTCTTTGATACCAAGCGAAAGCGATTATACGGGGTGGATTGGATAAAATGGTGATGAAGGTTATAAGTAAGGGTCACTTAAAACTTATATTGACACATGTGTGCACGGCGGCCTTGAAGAAAGTTGACACGGAAAATGTAAACTCAAATGATATCATTGCAACATTAAAGCGATAAGGTTTTCTCGAACCTGATTTCATCGTTTATACATAATATTATTCAGTTGTACCATCAGCACCAACCAAAGTGAAGGTCAAGATACAGCCAATCAAAATACGAAAGTTCTTCTGATACCAAACTTTCAATAAGATCCATACAAACAATCAATGTCCAGGTTTTATCCACATAAAGAGACTGATTGCCTGGAAATTCTGTAATGAAAGGAAATATCTGCTGAATTTTTGGTTAATAGTGAGACTTTGACTGTGTAATAAGCATGTGATAAAATACAAAACAGGAAATTGCGCCGTATATTGTCACCGATGAGTTAAATTTGGAAATGTCCTCCACTTGGCCACAAAGTTCTTGAAAGAAAAGTTACTTCTTTTAGTAATCCTGACCAGACTTTTGAACGAACGTCGTATGACGTGACATACATGTTAAACGCGCACGTCCTCAACTGGGATGATATACGTTCCTCAACAGGGATGCTGTACGTCATCAACTGGGATGATATACGTATACGTACGTCCTCAATTGGGATGATGTACGTCCTCAACTGGGATGATGTACGTCCTCTACTGGGATGATGTACGTCCTCAACTGGGATGATGTACGTCCTCAACTGGGATGATGTATTTCCTCAACTGGGATGATGTACGTCCTCAACTGGGATGATGTACGTATACTGGGATGTCCTCAACTGGAATGACATACGTAACTCGCTCAACTGGGATGATGTACGTTCTCAACTGGGATGATGTACGTCCTCAACTGGGATGATGTCCGTACACTCAACTGGGAACTGATGATGTACGTCCTCAACTGGGATGATGTACGTCCTCAACTGGGATGATGTACGTATACGCTCGTCTTTAACTGGGATGACGGACGTCCTCAACTGGAATGATATACGTTCTCAACTGGGATGATGTACGTCCTCAACTGGGATGATGTACGTCTTCAACTGGGATGATATCCGTATACGCACGTCCTTAACTGGGATGACGGACGTCGTCAACTGGAATGATATACGTTCTCAACTGGATGATGTACGTTCTCAACTGGGATGATGTACGTCCTCAACTGGGATGATGTACGTCTTCAACTGGGATGATATCCGTATACGCACGTCCTTAAGTGGGATGACGGACGTCCTCAACTGGAATGATGATACGTATACGTCGTCCTCAACTGGAATGATGTACGTCCTCAACTGGCTGTACGTCATCAACTGGAATGATGAACGTCCTTAACTGGGATACGATGTACGTCCTCAACTTGGGATGATTTACGTCCTCAACTGGGATGATGTACGTCCTCAACTGGGATGATATCCGTATACGCACGTCCTTAACTGGATGACGGACGTCCTCAACTGGAATGATATACGTTCTCAACTGGGATGATGTACGTTCTCAACTGGGATGATGTACGTCCTCAACTGGGATGATGTACGTCTGCGCACCTCAACTGGGATGATATACGTCCTCAACTGGACGTCCTGACTGCACGTCCTCTAACTGAGATGATGTACGTCCTCAACTGGAATGATGTACGTCCTCAACTGGGATGATGTACGTCCTCAACTGGGATGATGTACGTCGTCTCAACTGGGATGATGTACGTCCTCAAATGGGATGATGTACGTCCTCAACTGGGATGATGTACGTCCTCAACTGGAATGATGTATACGTCCGTCCTCAACTGGGATGATGGACGTCCTCAACTGGAATGATATACGTTCTCAACTGGGATGATGTACGTCCTCAACTGGGATGATGTCCGTATACGCACGTCCTTAACTGGGATGATGTACGTCCTCAACTGGGATGATGTCCGTACGTACGTCCTCAACTGGAATGATGCACGTCCTCAACTGGGAATGATGTACGTCCTCAACTGGAATGATGTACGTCCTTAACTGGGATGATGTACGTCCTCAACTGATGATGTACGTCCTCAATTGGGATGATGATGTATGTCCTCAACTGGGATGATGTACGTCCTCAACTGGGATGATATACGTCCTCAACTGGGATGATGTACGTCTCCTTAACTGGGATGAACTGTATGATCGTCAACTGGAATGATGTACGTTCTCAACTGGGATGATGTACGTCCTCAACTGGGATGATGTACGTCCTCAACTGGGATGATGTACGTCCTTCAACTGGGATGATATCCGTATACGCACGTCCTTAACTGGGATGACGGACGTCCTCAACTGGGATGATGTACGTCCTCAACTGGGATGATGTACGTCCTCAACTGGGATGTCATCAACTGGATGATGTACGTCCTCAACTGGGATGAACTGATGATATATACGTCCTCAACTGGGATGATGTACGTATACGCACGTCCTTAACTGGGATGATGTACGTCCTCAACTGGGATGATGTACGTCCTCAACTGGGATGATGTACGTCCTCAACTGGGATGATGTACGTCCTCAACTGGGATGATGTACGTCTTCAACTGGGATGATGTTCCTGGGATGACGCACGTCCTCAACTGGGATGATATACGTCCTCAACTGGGATGATGTACGTCCTCAACTGGGATGATGTACGTCCTCAACTGGGATGATGTACGTCGTCAACTGGGATGATGCACGTCCTTAACTGGGATGATGTCCGTACACGCACGTCCTTAACTGGGATGATGTACGTCCTCAACTGGGATGATGTACGTCCTCAACTGGGATGATATACGTCCTCAACTGGGATGATGTACGTCCCTCAACTGGGATGATGTACGTCCTCAACTGGGATGATGTACGTCCTCAACTGGATGATATCGTCTCTTTGCTGGGATGATATACGTCCTCAACTGGGATGATGTACGTCGTCAACTGGGATGATGTACGTCCTCAACTGGGATGAT